GTTCCCCAAGTGTTAAACTTCTAACCATCTCTATTATCTTGTCTGAAGTCAGTAATATTTTAAATCAATTATATTTTAAAGCTAAATTTATCATCTATTATGTATAGAAGGTGAGTAGTATATCTTTTCGAATAAGTAACAGTGGTGTACAGTGGGCGGGGAATTATCATTTGCATTTGAGCAAAAATTAAGAAAGATGATGCCACTAGCCCAAGGTGGTAACATAGCCTGAAAGCAGTGAAGGTAGAACCTGAATCCAAGTTTTCTAACACCTTTCAGAGAAAGAAAGTGGTTGAGGAGGGGAGAGTATAGGTGGAGAGATCTCACATAGAAGACCATTGATAAAACAGAATTGTCTTGGTCCAAACTAGATGGCCTTTGGTTTTCTGGGGCTTCTCTGACTCACTGCTTAATGGAACATGTGAAGAAACCTGACTAGTAGCTTTGTGCTACATTGCAATCATCCTTGACATTCTACCTACAGTTTCCCTATTATTTGGGGACAGACCTGAAGTAAGGTGAAACAATGTTGATTTAGTATGGGCTTCTTGCATGTTGGAGAAATCCATCTGTCGGGACCAATTTAGTAGAGACCTAGGGGCAGCTGTCTGCATCAATGCCTCTATCTCTTCTCCAATGCCATCTGCCAAACAGCAGACTGAAGACAGTAAGGATGTGTGCAGGGCCACAGCTGCACATTTTGTGGTTTGAATCCAACAACATGGTGACTAAGGGCCCAGGCTCGGGAGGCAGATGGTTGTGTCTCCTGTCTTGGCTCTAATGGGGACTTGACATTGAGCAGAATTTTTAACTTTTTTGGATCTTGGTGTTTTCACCAGTAATAATAAGTACCTACCTCAGAGCTGTCCTAAAACATAGAGATTGTGTATATAGTGCCTGGTACCTGGTAAATATTCAACATATACTAGATTTTATTATTAAAATCCTGATTCTCTTAGTTATCTGTCCAGTGACTGAGGCTCAAAGGGAAAAGTAGAAGCAAAAGAAAAAAAGCAATGACCAGTAAGAATCACCTACCAAGGGCTTCTGGCCTCCAACTAAAAGCAGAAAATGACTCCACTCTAAGTTTAATAGTATAGAATGCAAACGCCACCACAACGACAAGCAACCTGAGGCGATCTAGAACTAACAGAAGAAATATTTTTCCTTTTCAGATTTCCATGGACTTACTTGCTATCTTTTCTTATTCAGATTCTCAACCTTAACCGGTGGGTGTATGCTAAGGGACCACCTGGGGACTCTTACGCTGCAGGGCATACCTATTTGCTCATGGTGCTTTCTCCTTTAAGACTTTCTGAGCTATTTTATTTTATTTTATTTTTTTGAGTTGGAGTCTCATTCTTGTCACCCAGACTGGAGTGCAGTGGCCGCTCCCGGCCACCGCAGCCTCGACCTGCTGGGCTCCGTCGATCCTTCCGCCTCAGCCTTCCGAGTAGCCGGAACTACAGGCGCGCGCTACCACGCCCGGCTGATTTATTTATTTTTTGTAGAGATGAGGTCTTGCTGCCCAGGCGGGTCTCGAACCCGCGGGGTCAGGCAATCCACTCACCTCAGCCTCCCAAAGGCGCGGGATTACAGGCTGAGCCACCGAGCCCGGTTTTCTGAGCTATTAATATCCTTGCCTAAAGCTGTTGAAAGCCCAGGTTGTCATTCTTTTTTATTTTTTTTTTGAGTTGGAGTCTCACTCTGTCGCCCAGACTGGAGTGCAGTGGCACAATCCCGATCCCAGCCACCGCAGCCCCAACCTGTTGGGCTCCGACGATCCTTCCGCCTCAGCCTTCCAAGTAGCTGGAACTACAGGCACGCGCTACCACACCTGGCTAATTTTTTAAAAAATTTATTGTAGAGACGAGGTCTCACCAAGTTGCCCGGGTGGGTCTTGAACCCTTGGGCTCAGGCAATTCACTCACCTCGGCCTCCCAAAGCGCAGGGGTTACAGGCTGAGCCACCAAGCCCAGCGCAGGTTGTCATTCTTTACTCCTCTGATTTTCTTTCATGAGTCTTTCTTGACGCCATCCATTATTTTAAAGAAATATACATACTACCATTCCTTTTCTCAAAATTCAGTATCAGTGAGGGAGACTAAGAATCAGTCTATGGACATGGTAATATTTAATAGACATATTTCTTAATATACATTCAAAAGTCATTTAAGAAGGTTTATACGGTACCACTAAATCGTGACAACTTATTTAAAACCTTTAACTACTTTCTAAAGTTTGTTCCACGAACTGGATTAAAATACATACAACGGATTTTTTTTTTTCTTTACAGAAAAGCATTTTGTACATTGATCATTAAATTATTTGTAAATCTTTGTAGAATTTTTTAAAACTTGGAAAGGTCAGCACTCCATCCTGGACAGTAAGCTCCAGGAGGGCAAGAATGGTGCTGGTCTTGCTCAGTTTCCAGACTGTAGCCCAATGCTGGGTACACACAAGGCTTTCAATGATTTGTTGATTCATATAGTTTCAGTCTTACTCTGTAGAAGGTACTTTTTGGGTAAGATTAATAGAAATATCCCCCAAAGATGAGCAAAGTGATTCAGAAAACTGTGATTCTGGAATTAAAAGGAAAAATTGGAATTCTTGGGTAGTCGTCTAAACCCCTTTGGGAAAAAGCAACAGATCATCCTGGAATTTATACAAATGAGAAACGGAACCGTTGGCTGCAGCCTGAGATACACCATTTTAGGAGAGCATAATAGGAAAAAAAAATTAATGCAAGATTTCACGTATGAGACTCAAAAGTCAGCTCTCAAAATTGCAGTTCTGGTTGTGCCATCACAGATGTTCCCAAAGACAAGCAGGAGGCCATCCAGAAACCAGTGCTTACACTTGACTACACTCCAGTGGTCTACTTTAAAATGTACAAATTTTGCAAGATTACAAAAACAAACAAAACTCTAAGATGAATATGCAAGTTATAAGACCAAAGTCACAAATGGATTGAAGCTTATAGAAATGGCAAGATACACACAGCTTCTGTATGTTCAGCTAAGACTTAGTGAGGTATAGGTGTACAGTTCACGTCCAATGATTGTAGAAATGACAGATGATAAAGGCAAGAGAGAACTTCAAGTTTGTTTCTGTCTGGTCCACTGAGAATGTTCTTTAGGAGGTGAGGAACATGCATGGTGCACTTAAAAAGTAGTAGGTGCTATGCTGTATATTTTATACTGGTTATCATATTCATCATCACAGCAGACCATGAAGCAGCAATCCCCACCACTATTTTAGAGATAATGCAACTGAGGATCGGGGAAGAATTTGTCTGAACTTACTCGTTAATTGATGAGCAGAAGCAGGATCCAAATCCAAGTTTGACTAAAACCACGCTTGCTCTTTGCTATACTATTGACATGAATATTGGCAACTGGAATTATCTCTTGAAGAGATAAGCACTAAACTGCAGAAATCGGTCACAACCCAGATAAATTACATCCAGTGCCTTTGAGATGAGACCTTTAAAAAGACATGGATAATAGGTAGTGGCAAAATGCCACTCTCAATTTTTTTTTTTTTTTTAAGACTGCATAAGACTGAGAGAGGGCACACTTGCCCTGCTAACCATGGGCCAATCTTTTTTTTTTTTTTTTGAGTCGTAGTTTCACTCTGTCACCCAGGCTGGAGTGCAGCCTAGCATGCTCACAGCCACTGCAGCCCCCACCTGCTGGGCTCAGGTGATCCTTCCACCTCAGACATCCAAGCAGCTAAAACTACAGGTGTGTTCCACCACAACCAGTTAATTTTTCTTGATTTATTGTAGAGATGAGGTCTCACCAAGTAGCCCCGGTTGGTTTTGAACCCCTAGGTTCATCCAGTCCTCTCACCTGGGCCTCCCAAAGTGCTGGGATTATAGACGTGAGCCACCATGCCCAGTCTCAACCTCAAGTTTTAAGGATCCTTTAGTCCTGGTACGCCAATCTCTTCTGAAGTGATGTAAGTAAATGCAGGATTAACCTTATTTTGAACATTTGCCAGAAGGGAGATTTCCAGTTACAAGATGAACTTGCGAGAGCAATGTGAGAGTTCTCCATTCTCTTTCCTGAAAGTCAGTTCTCTGACTCCTCCTATGACTCAGAACTCTCCACTACAATCCTTATTATTATACTAGCTCTACTACACTTACACAGTAGGCTTTTATCACCACTAACAGCATTACTACAGGAAAATGAATTCCATCTTCCAAATGAATGACGGACGATACCCTTAAACAAAATAACCCATTAAATTGGAAACAACATAAATTTGTATTATTTTCCCTCATCTCCATCTTTTTTTCCTAACAAAATAGAAGGAATTTATATCAAGTTCACATGATGTACTCTGCTATTTCCAACAATTCTAAATTAGTGATCAAGTTAATAGCAGGCAAGTTACATTAAATTTAGACTTCCTAAAATTCCCTTCCCCAATCAGTGCCCATACAATACAAATTCGGCATAAAATCAATACCAAGTTTGTGGGCATTCTCTTTGTACAAAGAGAAAGTCAGTGATTTATAAATCATGAAAAGGTAGTAATGTTGACATTTAGACTTTCCTTTCCTCTTACAAATTCAGAGTAACCACATTTCAGAATTAACTCCCTATGGTGTTTGAGCTACCCTTAAAGAATCTAACATGATGGTTTCACTCTCCAGCCGGGTGTGAAGAGGCAGTGTTACTAACCAGGACCCAGCAAACAGGAGAAGCAGCCACCAAACACACACATATTCTACGAACCCAGTATCAGTGGTAGAAAGAACACAAATATATTTCATGTGGGAAATAGACCAAATGATAAATATTTGCATAACAGAAACAAAACTTTCTTTTTTAGGTTTACCACCATGATAGTGTGAGTTCAATTGGAGTTAATACCACAGGTTTGACTTGCAACTCTCTAATGCCATGATGCGGATAGTAAAGAAAATATATTTTGGTAGAATCACGGATGTGTAGAAGGAAGGTTGCTATGAAAAAATGAAAACAGGAATGATAGGAATATATTTTCTTTTATATATAAATATGAAGGCCCAAAATATGGTTTGTTGAAGTAGGTATCGTCAAGATGTTAAATTATTTTTCCTTTACTTTGGTTAAGACAGCCTAGGAACAACAATCAGTTCCCTTTCTTCTAACAGAAGAAAAACACAGTGACGGGACTACTTTCAGAACAGAATAAACAACTTTCAAGAAAAAAAAAAAATTTAAGCTAAAGTAAACATTTTACTTAAATAATTTGTTTTAAAAGACAATATCTTCATCCTATAATCTTGGGCACAACATTCACCAATTTAAAAAATAAAATTTCTCCCACAATAGTAATTACAGGTGTTAATGCAACAAGCTATGAAATAAAATTACTTTAATGTCTTCTTTAAAAATCCTAGCAACCAAAAATGAATTTGAAAAGTTGACATCTTATACAGTTCTACATATTCTAAAATAATTGACTAATACTTTGTTACAGAACATAATTCAAACTATCGTTGGCATTTCAATATATTTATAAAGAAATGGCTAAAAGAACATTTAGTACACCAAAACTGGAACAGGGTTTATAAGTTCTGATTCACGGCCATGAAAAGGCAATCAACTTCTATTTAAAACTGTAACCAGTGATGAAATATACTTCAAAACATAAACATTTGGTCTGACAATCTTTAATATTTGTTAAAAAGTCTGATGTTTGTTGCTTATGGATGTCATTTTAATCTAGTGTGCAAAAAAGGTGCAGCTGTCTCCTTTTGCTTGAAATACATAAGACCAACACGACTATTTACACACTTAAAAGATTTTAAATTTATTAATTTAAATGAGCATATTGTATCTCCTTTATGGATAAACCATGTGCCCCAGAGAGCCCAAAAGCTTAATGACATTCTGTAAGCTACACAAATGTATTTGAAGAAGCATATTTGTTCTTAATTTTGAACTGAGATAAAAATTCAATTTTAAAATCAATTAATTATTTTAATCTAGGAAATCTTGTAATAGTTGCACATGTAAAACCTTGTCTGAGAACCTTTTTTGCTCTCTCACCATTGGTCCACTCCACAAATTCTAGCTGGTGCAGAGTGGCAATGCCCCAAATTTGAGAAACTCAAGAACTCATCCACAAGACTACCACCATCCTGGTGGGTTTGTTCAGCTTTCAGTATGTTGTCACTTCAGCTTTTGGGGTGAATACAGAGCAATCAAAATGGATGAAGAAACATTTCAGCAAAGCAACCATTATTTGTCCACAAAACAGTGAAAAACAGTGATATAAAATTAACAAACCAAACACAAATCTAACACCATTCTGCATCTCCAGCACTTGTTTTCACATCTGTGCAGTGTTCTTGGTCAACCACCCACCAAGATTTTCTGCATCTATTTGAAGTACTTTTATTAAGTTATCAAAACTACTGTTTTGACCATAAGTCACATAGTATTGTGATGACTAGGAAATCAATTTACTCAATTATTACTCTGTGCAGGGCACTCACCAGTGCAGTGAGTGTACAGGAATTAAAAATAGAAGTCTCTCACTTCTAAACTGAACACGGGAGTCCTCAAATTATAATCATAAAAAAGAAGGGAAGGGAGCTTACTGGCAACATTAATACTAGACACCAGGCAGGACAGTGAAAATGGTTTGGTCAGAACTGAGGATTATTTCCTTGAAAAGTTTAAAAAATACCTAACCAAGCACTGCCGTAAGTCCAGTGAGTACAATGCTCCAAACGTTTCCACAAAAATATAGTAACTGGTGTTCATTCATTATGATCCACGTAATCTCAGTCTCTGCTTCCCAGACAAGTGTTTCTGTTCCATCAGCTCTAGCTACAGGCTATCGTTTCTAGCTGCTGCTCTGCTTCAGCAGCCATGGCTGCTGCCTGCAACTGTTCTGTCTCGCTTTGGATGGCACTGGGGGTAACCTGCTTCCTTTCGCTGTGCATGTTGTTCTCGTGCCTTTTCAGATCAGAGGCCTTGGCAAATGCCTTGGTGCAGGAGCCACACACAAAAGGCTTTTCCCCTCTGTGTCTTCTTTCATGATCCTTAAGGTGGGACTTGTGTTTGAAGGCTTTGTCACACATGTGACAAGCAAACGGTCTCTCGTTACTGTGAACTCGCTCATGCTTCTTTAAGTCTGGGGCACGAATAAAGGATTTTCCACACACCTCACAACTGTAGGGCTTATATCCTGTGTGGATTTTTAGGTGCTCTTTCAGGTGAGCCTGTGTGGTGAAACCTTTTGTACACATTTCACAAACAAATGGCCGGTCTGCTGTGTGGAGTTTTTCATGCTTCCTCAATCTGCCTTCGTCAGAAAACGTCTTACCACACGCCTGACAGGCAATCTGCTCCCGATGGTGACCGTAAAGCAAATACTCAAATTTCATGTCACTGGCGGCTGTTGTCCAGCCTGGTGTCTGTTCGTCTTTCACTTCGCTCATCCCATCATTAAACGTTAAGGCTTGAGGGGTCTGGGATCCCAAGTCCTTTGATTCTGGGGTCTCCATGGATTCCACTTCCTGGCCGTAGCAATTGACTTTCCGAACTTCCTCACTCCCCAGCTCTTTCAAAATCGCTTCCTGTACCCTGAGCGTGGTTGTGGGTGACTTGCCGTCCTCCTGACTCGGGGGCGTGCCTTCTACAGTGTCATCAGAGGGACTGTCATCCTGATCCCCAATTTCTTCTACATCATCATCCTGAGTGTCAGTGGCGTCTCCAATGGGGCGATTTATTTTGAGGCAATACTTACTTTTGGACTGGCCGTTATTTTCATCGGGACTAGATACATCACGCTTCTGGGAACAGAGTTTATCCAAAAATCGGATACCAAGAATCTGACCCGATGACATCATTAAGTTAACATCCTCTTTTTTCACAGAAATCTTTGCAGTGTACATGTAGTTCAGGACCTCTTCAAATATATCAGAACGAAGAAAGTCTATTTCTATTACTGAAGAACTATCAACCTCAAGCTTCTTGAAAAGCTTTTTAAAGTAGGTGCTGCAGGCGGCAAGAACACATCTATGCGCTCTGAATTTCACATCCTCAACCACAATAGCAATATCACAGAATTCTCCTTCCAGGCGTTGTTCATTTAGTGTTTTCAGAAACAGAGTTTTATGATCATCGTCATTATATTTAATGGTTTCAGACATACTGATGAAAAACTCCTACAAAAAATTTTTTAAAAAAGCAAGTTTAGTGATTATAAATAGTACTTTTCCATATAGAGAACACAGTCAGACTTTCATTTTTTGATCAATTTTTGGAAGCTAACAATTTCAGAAAGTTGATGTTAAGAGTGATCATGAATATGAGCAAACTTACAGATTTCCATATTGTTGCTTTTAGTTATTGTCACTTTACTAAGTATTTGCCTAGTTATAACAATAACAACTTTCACTGAGCACATAATACATGCCAGGCATTGTCCTATGTAGCACCTCAAATGTCTTAATTAGCTGCTTAATGTTGAAATAAACTTAAGAAGTAGCTATCACTATTCCCAATTTATAGACAAAGTTAGAAACCTGTCCAATATTCTGTAGCTATTTTGTGGAGAGATGAACCTCAAATGCAAGAAATCTAGCTCCAAAAACCATGCTTTCTGATAAGAGGTAATAATGACAAATAACTCAACCTCGAGTTTTTGGGTTTTTTTTGAGTTGGAGTCTCACTCTGTCACCCAAGTTGGAGTACAGTAGCATGTTCATGGCCACCACAGCATTGACCTGCTGGGCTCAGATGATCCTTCTGCCTCGGTCTTTCAAGTACCTGGAATTACAGGCATGCGCCATCATGCCCGGCTAATTTCTCTTGAATTATTGTAGAGATGAGGTCTCTCCAAGTTGCCCAGGTTGGTCTTGAACCCATGGGCTCAGGCAATCCTCTTACCTCGCCCTCCCAAAGTGCTGGGATTTAGGTGTGAGCCACCACGCCCAGCCTCAACCTCAAGTTATAAGGACCCTTTAGTCCTGGTATGACACACATACTCTAATTCCATTTCCTCTAACTCTATGGATGGAGGATTCAGTAAGACATCTAATAGTGTCTTCCTTGACAGAAGAAGCAAATCTAAGGCAGAACTAGAGAGGGACAATATTGCCAAAAGATTCGGTATTATCTTCTGGTTTTTCTGCAGCAGTTTTGGGCCACTTCTGAAAGAGGGTGAAGGTTAATCCGACCCTAAGAGAATCAAATGGCATATGGGAAGATAGTAATGACTGGCTTCATTCTCCCTCGATGACAACCTACTAGATAAAAGTGTCAACAGCATTGAATGTACCTGCTAAGTGCTGTGTTTTACAAGCAAAATAAATTTAGGACTGGCATGAAAGACTTCTGTCACCATGTGAAATAACTGATCATCTTAAACCAATGTGTTCTATATGTTTTCTTCTCAAAAAACATTGTGTTACTATTATTCAACAAAATACAAATCTGAGGAAAATAAACATTTTCCCTAGAGAAACAGAAGTGTTCATGCACAGCACAACTGGTATATATATTTTAAAACAAACATCAAATCATTTCGTCAAGATTTAGTATCCAAAGTTATAGTTACCATGAACAACTCAGGCTATTATCTTAATGCCTGGAATGCCAAAATCTTCAGATCAGAATAACTCTGATCAGGAGCACGCCAGACCTACAGAAAAAAAGGACAAACAAGAATGAGGCAGGATCTTCGTCTATCCCAAATCCTAAACCAATAATGTCTTCAAGAATTGATTTTTTAAAATAAATGTTCTGTTCTGCCTCTTGTGCATGTACCCATTTACAGAGTCGGAGAGGAGGCAGGTGGCTGGCACATGAAGTCCAGTTGTGAGCAGATGTGGACTAGAAAAGGGAAGGGCCATGGCTCTTGGGCATGGAGGGGCTGTGAGATGGAAACTGGAAGGAGGGGATGGAAAATCACTAAGGGATTTCTCCTCACAAACTAAGTTTATGTCCACATTTGTACAGATGTTAATGGCTACAACGATGCAGAAAAAGCCAGTAAGTGTACTGTGTCCCTGCCTCCCCCCACCCATGTCCTGCTGGGTATGTAACCCTCTACATTTTTCTCTAGGCTCATATGGACATAGAGAAGTATACATATCTTTACAAATAAAATTATAGAAGCACACATACCCAACAGTTAACATGGGAGGAGAGGGAATAGTTGCTTTTTCCTCTCTGCACCTGTGTGATGTAGCACATACTTGTCTTTAAGACTGCAACTGAGAAATCCAGGTGTCTTTACCTCTATCCCTACGGGGGGAGGAGGCTCAAAGAACTTTTAGCTTTTGTGAGCTTTAACTCTTACCGGAGGAACTCCATCCTGCAGACCCATATCCTGAAAAACATAAAAAGTTTCCTCTACTGAACAGTGACCACACAAATAAGCTGTTTCGTGTGGTAGGAGCAAAGGACTGGGCTGTAATAGTCTTACACAAAAACTGTGGTACAAGACCCCAACCCAGAGAGCAGTATCTTAAAAACAGAAAAGTTGTCTCTACAGAAAAGCAAACACACTACGGAGTTGCCTAGTGCAGAAAGGCGGTTTCTTATCTGCCTAGTATGAGGGATGGGCAAAATTATTTCCAAGGACGCTTCTGACTTGATTATTCCAAGTGTCTCTGCCTCCCT